TAACTACCCAAAAAGTAGGTGCGGGAGTTAGGGTTAGTTGCGATGGTAGAGGAATCTACGGCCGAAAAAAGATCATGAAACCGTGCACTAATAAAGAACGCTTTTCAAGGCATTTGTGACTTACCACTGCGGATCCCTAAAGTGAGTACACAGTTCGACCAAAATTACCGAGGAAAAATCAAAGGGTATATAAGCAGACGGGTGGATGGGACTGAAACAGATAGATGAATGCAAGAACTAGCTAGTGGAAGTGGGACGGATAACGCCGGGATAGATAGAGAACAGCTAGACGGATAAGTAGGTAAATGGAGAGATAAATGAATCTAACACAAATGAATAAGAGTTTGGATGGAACTTGAAATGTATACACATTCATTTGTATATGAGGTAGACAGACAAATGTACAGAGGACTGAGTGTATGAGTGAAAAACTAAATAACTGTTTGAATGTCAGTATTTATTGATATAGTAATAAACGCTTCGATGAAGAGAAACATACTTACAAGTACTCACAAAGTGGCAGATTTGTCTCAACCATTAGTATAAGGGTAACCAAATACCTATTCAAAATGGCAGTTCAGAGGAATGAAAGACCACCCAAATATGCTAAAATGCATTCGATCACTAATCGTCCAAATAAAGTTTTTCACACCCTTACGATGTGCATACATGCGTGTGCAGCTTGTAACCAATTAAACGGCACCAATCAACCGGTAAACCCACCTACTTATACACATACACACACACGTCGTAGGTGAGTGAGCTGCAACCTACTTTCGTGCACATTTTTGACACGTCTTCGCAGGTCGTAGTTGCGATCGAAGGTGGAATTACAATGGTCACATTGGTAGGGTTTAACTCCTTTAAGCAAAACAAATATGTAATTAGAACACCAAGAAATTCAATTACCTACCCTCGTGACTACGCCTGATGTTAACTTTCAAGCCTTGCATATTCAGAAAGGGTCGAGTGCAAACGCAACAGATATGGAGATGGAAATCTCGGTGTTTTACATTTACGTGATTCTGTAAGGTATCGGCACTCTTGAGAACTTTCCCACAGCTTCAACGATGAAGGAATGAAGTATGTTACAGGAAGCTGCCTGTCACCTCGGTGAAGTGCCGCTGCAGGCCATGGGAGGCAGACAAGGAGACAGGGCAACAGATAGATAGGCTTCATTTTCAAGCAAGATAGAAGCCAGTGCTAGCTCACCAAAGAATAAGTCTGACGGGTGCTATTCG